TGGCTTAAAACCAATTCAACGAAGATTCCGTTTCGGTTGGTTTTGTGTGTGACTTTTTTCCAAATCGAATGCAGTTTTGTGCACGTTTTATGTGTATGCAATACATTCTACCGCATTTGCACCACTAACTGAGTACTTTTACACAGCACATCAACAACTTTTCAACTCCAACACAATCAAAAGTGAAACGTTTTGGTGCACCATAGCATTTGTTTTATAACAAAACAGATAGAGACACACAGTTTTCTCGAAACACTCGAAAAATCATTCAGTAATTCACGCGAAAAAAAGGCACATACTCTGTTCAAAAAGACACAAACATTTATGTGACATAAAAGAAAAATGCGCGACACATTTTCACGTTGGTATGCATGTAACAAAAAAAGAGGTCTGTCTCCACACCGAACTGCTAAGCGATAGATGTTTGTGTTGCCATGCTCATAAATAACAATTCGAAACGAGAATTGTAAAAATCATTGAAAAATGGAATGAATGGTCATCGTCCGACGAATGATACAGTTCAAATAAATGGCACCGACAAGGTGCAAAAAGACCAGAATGACAACAACGAAAAAAAAAATGAATGTATTTTGAATGGATGGAAGAGGAAATGGTTCTCGGCTCAAAAGTCTACGATCGCTAATTCAATGCCAACGCATTGCAAAACAAAGTAGCTACAAGCCGCTCCAAATGAACGTTTTGTGTGTGTTTGGTTTTAGCAACACTTGAATAGTATATTTAACGGTGTAAATGGCAAAATTGATGGGGGCAATAGTTGAAGACAAAACAAAAAAAAACGCTGAAAAGCATGAGACAAATACGTTAACACAGATCCACAGAGAATGAGAGCAAAAATTATACACGAACATGGAACATTCAGCCTATACGTTGACTTCCGATTTACTGCATCCAGGCGCATATCAAATTATACTTTGAATGGCGAACATTCATCGTTATTTACAATCTCTTGATTCGATACACACGCAGAAAAAAAAATTACCGTTTTTTTTGCACTCGCAGATTCTGTTTGTGAATTCTTGTTGCCTTCAATTCTCGAATATTTAACGGACCAAAATGGCTTATCGAACGAACGCGAACGATGCGAGAGACATTGAGCAAAAAAAGGAATGACCATGTGTGTACCTTAATAGCCATTGGCATGGCCGGTATGGAGGGCCCAATTATCCGCTTATTGGTATTGATGTGTACCAATCGATGATACGAACTTTCAAATTGCGTCGATTTTACGCATACTGCAACCAATATAAATATGCAACTCTGCAACGCTCGATAGAATTTCATTGATGCACTTGCAAATAATCATAAAGCAAACGAACAAACGAGCTACCTTTCCAATCGAAATCTCTTGAATGGTCCATTTCTCGACAAATCGATGTGCTACCATACGCGAACTAACGGCGACGATTCAACTCGTTTTTTTTTCTTCTTCTTTGCTATCGGGAATCATGAAGGTATTTGCTTGATAAATTCATTGCGAATATTTTTTGAATTCAAAGTTTTTTCCACGACTTTATTTTTGTTTTAATTACATACAAACTTCAAAAACAATTGCTTGAAGGTAAATCAGGTTGATTACAACCAATACATAATTAGTATGGTTAATGTATTGTTCAGATAGGTAGAGGAAAAACAAAGTTGACCAAGTTAATATCACCGTCGTTTCTCATTTGATATAAACAAATAAAGTGCATAGCCGCATTTTGTTCAACACACAACAGTTGTGTGTATAATATTCCAGTTGGCTTGATGTTTCTTTTGTTAAAAAAAAAATAATAATAATAAATTCCTGACACCGGTTTTTTTCATTAAGCGAGTACGCACACCGAGAGTACCGAGTCTATTGATTTGAGTTTGCCCATGTTTGATATTGTGTTAAGTTTGAAATAAAGTCAGTAGAAGAGAGATTCATGCTGATTTTGGCTCGACTGATTTGTTGCGTTCGATGCAATCAAATAAATGTCGTCATTGTTGACGATAATCGTGGATGTCAGGGTTTGATTTTTTCTTCGTTTGCTCTATCGTTTGATTACGCATTTTCTCTTTCTCGCTGTTCTTTGCGTGAATACATGTCTATATTTATTTTAATAATACGAGGGTTGATCCGGTATTTCGATTTTAATTTTAAAATTTATAGCAACAACAGCAATCAGCTGAACTTGTGCAAATGTGTGCCGGGTGTAGGGATTGTGAGCATTATTGTGTGTTTTTGTACAAATAAACGAGGGCGCGCGCGCTTGAGCTCTGAACGCGGCCGCATCAAGAGAGTTGAACCATTGTTGGCAAGCCGATGTGGCAACATGGTTGTTGTTGCAGCTTAATTTAAATCTTTGGCATGTATTGTTTGTCGACGTTTTTTTTAAAACTCATTCATTCGGGTCGCCTGGTTCATTCGGAACTTTTTTATATATATATATATATTCATTTAAATCTGTATTTATTTAAATTCAAACCAATTGCGATGTGTGTTACCCAGTAGCTCACTTGTGTGTGCGAGCGATGGTTTCTTTGGTTAGTTTGAAACGTAATATTGTGGCGCGTTTACTTACCAACCGGCTGCTGGAAAAACTCAATTGAAAAATGAGAATATACAAAATCAAACACACATGGATATGCTATAAAATGCATGTTGATGCTCGGTATGTGTTTGGTCGGCAATGTGTGTATGCGCGGTATTTTTTTGAATGCCCGACTTTTCTCTACATTCTTTGTGTTATATTGTATAAACGATTGAGTTTAGAATGTGTGGTATGTGCTTTGTGTGCACATTATTTGCATTCGGGGTCTCTCTTGATATTCATTTTCAGATGTGGTCATGTCCGCATATGAAATCACATAAAAAGAACATTACACAACCGACGAGAAGAATCAAAACTAAACAACAAACGGATAGGGATTTTCTAATTAAAATTTACTTCGTCAAAACATGTGCATTATGCAATAAATATATATTGGCTCCAGCAAGACTATAATGAACAATAAAATCATTTCGACTTTTGATACAAGATCCGGAATTTGTAATGGATGAAGAAAAAGAGAGATAGAGAAAATGAGAGAGGAGAGGGATGGAGAACGAGACAAAACTGTGAATTCGATTAGTTTATGAGGTGAATAGTTTCATAATAATAATAAATACTGAATCTTGAATCAGTTCTTGTGTAAATAAGATGAAATCAAACATTTGTAAACAGACAGTTTCGCTTGATTTGAACGAAAAAAAAATCGGCTTCAAACACACAAAGAAACAAGTCATGCTCATATCACTAATTTTTATCTTTGTTTTGCGTCGCATTTCTCTTCTTCTTCCTTGACTTCGATCTTCTTTTTTGTTATTTTCTCTCTCTCTCTCTTCTCTCACTCGCCCTGTGTCAATCTTTCGATTTTCTTTTTTTTGGTGTCATATATTTTCCATATTGTGTATTGCATTGAATGAATTCGCGGAACCTACTGGCCGGCAAAAAACTGTCCAAATGAATAGAAGTTCAAGACAGAAATTTCTACTGATTTGTATTTTTAATATTGTGCTTTTTTTCTCTGCACATTTACGCTCGATGAATGTACTGAAAGTGTTTGCTACTTTCTCTGGAAAACAAACAATTCAAATGACTACCAGGCATCGAAAACAATGAGACGACGCATGAAAAATTAGCAGAAGTTGTAATAATTTGTGTTTGAAAAAGGAGTCGACTGAAGAAGCGTGATAAATTGAAACTGGAAGCACATCGATATAGAAACAGGGACACAGCGATAAGCAAAACGAATGGAAACATGGAAATAGTAGCCACTGGGTGCACATTTCTTCGACCGTTTTTGTTGTTTGTTTTTGTTGCATGCTGTGAATATTTTTATGACCGTATGATGTATATGTGCACGACCACACGGCAGGATCACCTCTTGTAATACTGGATGATGTTGTGACTTTAATTCTAATGATAAATGTTGATTTGAACGAGACACACAGTACGATCGGAACAAATCGTTCAACAAAATAGACACAGTTTAAATTAGCTTTGACTGAACATTTTTTTTGGCTGTTGCTTTCGAAAATTCTTTGAAGTTTTGCGGAAGGAGAAAAAAAATGAAATACAATTGGTGTGTGAATTAGATGCACTTGTTATAACACACAGACAAAAAGATACTCAATATATAAGTTAAACAAAATTGAACTCAATACTTGTTTGTATTTAAACGGCAGTTTATGGATCTGATTTAAAGAATTGATGAAGAATATCGAGCAGAGTCCATAGTTTTTAATAACAAATTTTAAATAGACAAAGAATTCGAAGTTATTATTTAATCGCTTGGCAGAAAGAAGCATTTCAAGTACTCGAAACATAAATAAACTTGAATTTCTTGCTTTAGAGTAAGTTATAAATAACAATTTTTATTCTTCAACTTTCAAAATCAATTTATGAAATTAAATAGTCAATTATTAACTATAACATAGTTTTACAATTTATCTTCCATTCCATTTACTAAACGGTTTCGAAATGAACTGAAGCGTTTTTTATGTTTTGCTTATTTTTCAATTTTTTGTCCTAGAGTGAATACTGCGAAAAAATGAAGACTGTACAAAGAGTCACTATTTTCGTGGCTATGTGGATAATGAACGTATCTATTGGAGATACACAGAGGTGATGACGAGGGTTCCTAGGGGTCGGATGACCCCCCCCCCCCTAAAATATTTTTAGGAACCCTCAACAATTTTGTAAATGAGGACCTTTTTTTGCTCTTCACTTTTTTTGGCCGAGAAAATTCTTTCGATTTGCTAGGGATTTTCGCCAAAAAAGTGACTTCCAAAAAAAAAAAAACGATTTTATCCTCATTTCGTACAAATTGTTGACATCGTCAGGGACCCCCCATGGATTTTTCCAGGAACCCCCTACAGAATTTTGCCATCACCCCTTTCCCCCTAAAAAATTTTACGTCATCATCTATGGGACATAAATCTAATGCGCTCTATACTTTAACATTGTGACACAATGACAACCATCAGGTGGCTACTTGGAGCTGTCAAAACAGCGTATGAAGATTATGCTATTGGAGTAAAATTAGATGAAAAATTCAGTTGGAAAAATGTTGAATACGATTGGCTATCGCCCCTCCTCAAGGAGAATACGATTCGCACACAGAAATACGTTCCCGAAAACAATTTGCCACTCGGTTTAGATTTGTGGAAAGATGAACTATTTATCAACGTTCCAGGGTAATATTAACTCGATTTTAGAAATTGGGAGATGCTAAACGGCACTAATTAAACTCTATTATTAAACTCTTTTGAATTTTGGATTATGTTGAATACTCATTTGATTCTTGTTTTAGATTTAAATTGGGTGTGGTTTCGTTTCTTAATTATGTTAATATTTCAAGTGTGCTAAAAAATCTGATACTGAAGCCATACCCAAGCTGGAAAGTCATTTTAATTGATATAACATCAAATGGAACTCTTGCAGACAATTTTCCAATTGCTTCTGCGATTCGTGTTCGAGTCGACGAGTGTGATCGTTTGTGGGTGATGGACTCTGGGTTCATTGGTTATTTGGCAATACAAGTTAAACTTCCAACAATCTATATCATTGATTTGAATATTTACCTGTTAATAAAGCTACATTGGTTCCCAATAAGTCATTTAAAGGATGGTTCCTTTTTTTGGTAAGAATTTCTTCTTATACACACTTATTACACACTGATTTCAATGTTGGAGGAGTGAATTTTCAAGTAAAACTCGGTGTATTTGGCATGGCTTTGGCGAAATCAGATAAAGCGGGGTTTGTATATCATATTTAACATCAATATACAAAAAATATTTTATTCATATTTTTAATAATTACAGCGTTCGAACTGTTTATTTCCATGTCGGTATGCAGAATAGAACGCGTGCATTGAGTATCGAACCTTTTCATGATTATTATTTTGTCGGTGACCGCGGACCCAACGGACAATCGAGGGTATCATTTTTGGATGAAAAGTCAAACGTTTTATTCTACGCTCAAATAAACAAGGACGCCGTTTATTGTTGGAATACTGAGAAGAGAAAAGAGAAACCATACAATTTGAATACACAAGGAGTTGTCGATATGAATTCGGATTCATTGGTGTTTGTAAATGATTTGAAAGTCGATAGAGATGGATATTTATGGGTTCTGTCAGACCGTTTACCAGTGTTCATTTACTCAAAATTAAATGCAAACCAATTTAACTACCGAATTTTAAGAGGAAAAGTCAGTGAATTGATTGCCGGAACAGCATGTGAATATAAAAAAATGTGCAAACAAGGTTGGTCATCTGATTTTGCTTATCCAAATTAGCCAATGTTACTAATAAAACAAATAAAAATTGAACATACTGAATAGAATATTGTATTCTCTTTTTCTATCTCCATTGCTTGAAACTAGTATTTAATGAATAATAGATTTGCGGTTAGTTTCTAATGAAAAGTAACGTTTATTTATTAAAAAGTCAATTAAGTTGAACTTTTTTGTATTGAACGTTGACTCTCATGTTATTTTAATTTGAAAGTATTCAGTGCGGAAAACATTTCAAATTCGCAAACGAAAAATCTGTCGAAATTGTTCCTGTTCGAGTCACAATTTAGATTTAAATAAAACAAAGCGTAAACCATCGAAAGAGCGCGTGAGGCCACTTTGAGTTAACTGCTAGGAATGCTAATTGGTATTTGAAATCTATAGAAAAACTTGAATTTCACGTTTTGAATGAACGCATGTTTCTTCACACTTTTTTTCGGCCGTGAATTTTGCGTAACAGAAAAAACTGTCTTCACAAAAGTTATAGGTGCTTTCGAAGTTTGATGACTTTGTTCAAGACATTTGACTCTTACCGATTAACAGATAGGTTCGTCAATGTGCAAAGTGTAAAAGCCGAATTTTTTTGTATTGTGAGTGATTTATATTCTACGGAATTTTCCAACTATTGTTCAATTCGAATAAAATGTTACATTGAAGCATTATTATCGCAGCAAAGTATATAGCGTCAAATAATCAAAATTTTAAAAACAGTAGAGAAAGACATCTAGCTGAAATATGTCATCAAAACCAAATTATTTGCAAAAACTTGAAGAAAATAGGAGAGTAGTAGATAGCAGATATTTTCAACCAGATGACATATTTTAGAAGTCATCTCAATAAATTCAAAGATTCAATTAACTGTCAAGAACGATATAATGTGTTTTTCTGATGATATACTGTCATTACCGAAGATTATACAGAAATTCCACGTCAATAATATTCATTATAACTTTTAAAAAGATTATACAATATCAAGGGCAGGGCCATTTCGACACATTTTCATTTCCTTGAAAAATGGACCAAAACATACTCACCAAATAAACCCAAAATATGTTTTGTAATTGTGATAATCCATTTTTCAAATTGGAATGAGTTTTTTTTATTGAATTCTTGATAAGAAATATTTTTCGGTTGATATAAAAACGCTTATATCAAGGCTCTGTATTATTTTAGTTCGTTCAGTGATTACACGTCGAAACAGAAGTCTCTGGGAATTACATTTTATTCACACATTTATAGCTGATGTGGTCGAACGTTATTTTAAGTAGTGTATAAAATCCAAACTTTTGAGGCGATATTTATAAAAGAATTAGGAAATCACAGGTATTGTCGTGTAAAAATCATTTTATTCTTTTTAATTTGAGTTCTGTTGACTATGTAAACGCAATCAAAATATGCTGAAGATGCAATTTTTCTTAAATAAATAAGTTAATAATAAAGTTTTATTAAGAAGTTTTATTATAATCATTTGAATGGATATTTTGTGGAAACCAATTGCCGGACAACTTAGCTCGAATTTATTTGTGTGTGTAAAATCTGTTACTGTAGTGTATTTTGATTAATTTGTGCAAACACTCGTCGTATAAATAAAAAAAAAATTAAATCAATGCAAAGAGGTGCTTTTGTATTATAAAATTACACCACATGAAAATATTAAATTCAGTATCAGTTGAATTGATCCTGAACGAAGTTTAATCAATTGAAAAAAAAAACATACTATTCGCTTGAACGTTTTTTTATTAGTTTCGCTTACCCTTGACCTTTTATTGAACTTAAGATAACATTTGCTGGTACAACAAAATGGAAATTTTACAATGGGCGACTGTTTTTATGGCCATGTGTATAGTACACGGGTCCATGGTAGTACAGGAAAAATCCAAATTAAAAGAAAAATTCAGTTGGAAAAATGTGGAATATGACTGGCCAACTCCATCCGCCAAAGAGGAAGCGATTCGCACACAAAAATACATACCCGAAAGCAATCTGCCCCTCGGATTAGATGTGTGGAAAGACAAACTATTCATCACTGTTCCAAGGTAAATCTTGAGATAAGAATGAGAGATGCTTCTTTGAAAATCAAATATTAATTGCATGATTGGGAGGTCAACTGTGACATTTATTGATTCGGACATTTTCTTAAAGATTTGCTGCAGGTGTCGCTTCAACGTTGAATTATGTTAGAATTACAGATAACAATCCAGATAACAGTCCAGTTCTGAAGCCATATCCAAATTGGCAATTTCACAATGTTGACGTCGATTCCAATGGATTTATTGTCAATAATATGTCATTAGCATCAGTATTTCGTGTTCGTGTAGATGAATGTGATCGTTTGTGGGTGATGGACTCTGGCTTCATTGATCATTTGGGAATTCAAGTGAAACTTCCAACGATATACATCTTCGACCTGAACACCGACCAATTAATAAGACAACATCAGATTCAACTGTCTGACATGAAACCCGGTTCCTACTTCATCAATGTCGTTGTTGATGTTCCGAAAAACCAATGTGATAATGCGCATGCGTATGTACCGGACTTAATATCTGGCGTCGTAGTCTATTCATATAAACTCGATCAGTCTTGGCGCGCCGAACACAATTTTTTCCACTTCGATCCATCTTATACGGACTATAACGTTGGAGGTGTAAATTTCCAATTTGTAAACGGCATATTCAGCTTGGCTTTGGGCAATCCAGACAATATGGGGTTTGTATATTATATTCTAGAATATTGTTAACATCAATGTATAAATAATATTTTATTTAAATTTTTAACAACTACAGCGTACGAACTGTTTACTTCCACGCATTGTCGAGCTCGCGTGAATTCGCCGTTCCAAACGTTGTTTTGCAAAATCAAACGCGAGCAACGAGCACCGAATCCTTTCATGATTATTATTTGGTCGGTGATCGTGGTTCAAATGGGCAATCGACGGCATCATTTTTGGACGAAAAATCGAATGTTTTGTTCTACGCGCAAGTAAATAAGGACGCCGTTTATTGTTGGAATGCTAACAAGCCATACAATTGGAATACACAAGGACTTGTCGATATGAATTCGGATTCATTGGTGTTTGTAAATGATTTGAAAGTCGATAGAGATGGATATTTATGGGTTCTGTCAGACCGTTTACCAGTGTTCATTTATTCAAAATTAAATCCAAACCAATTTAACTACCGAATTTTAAGAGGAAAAGTCAGTGAATTGATTGCCGGAACAGCATGTGAAATCAATAAATATTGTACAACTGATGGTCTTATATTATATCCCAATAATTAGACTAACATTGACCAAAAACGCAATTAAAAACATTTAATAAAAATAAATAAATCAGTAGCATTGCACTGCAATTGTGTGAATCATGTCTTTTTACACTTCACCAATGTATGATTTGCAGTTTTGAACCAAAATTTTCAGGAATATGTTCAATCTTTCAATTTGAAAATAAAAATGTTTAATCAACGTTTTAACGAAAAAGTAATTAATGTGAGTAGTCAACGAAATAACAAAAAAAAAACATTCTGTTTATGAATCTGATAAGCAAAACGAACAAAAAACTGGCTGTAAACTGAATTGGTAACTTATCGAAGGTTATTTCTCACAGAAGCTGTAAACTGATTTTTATTTACTATATTTAAATGAATTATGAATGCCATCATCGGCAAAAAAAAACGGAAACAATAAATGCGTATGACAATCGCGCATTAAATTACAAATCGAATTTTGTTTCTATGTAAGTATTGTACGATCACGCAACAGATGTCTACCAAAAACTAAAATAATATACATGAATATGATGCGAAATGAATGGAACGAAAGTCACGTAGATTTATGTTTTCTTTGTATTTTTTTCATTGGAAAATAAGTATGCGAACAATAGCATCTCAGAATTCGTGATTTGCAATACAAACGTCACACGCAATAATTATACCCCAACAATATCCAAAAAAAAGTAAACGTCATTAACTTAACAACAAAGAGACACATCGGTCAAACATATGATATACTACCACAACATCAGCAGCAACAACAACAACAATGTAATACGATTAAGTGAGCGATCAGTAATCGGTCAGTATGTGTTGGCACCTCGTGTGTTTGTATACTCATAAGTCACTATTTATGTACATATTGACAAAATGACAATCGAAATTAAGTGTGCGCGCGCGCTCTCTCTCGTTTGTCGAATATGTGTGTGAATATGTTGTGTGTGTGTGTGTGTGTGTGTGTGTGTGTGTGTGTGTGTCGGAATTTCGAATCTTATCGTCATATAGTGTATGTTTCTCGTTCTCCCTCTACCAATTTTTTCTCTTTCTGTTGCACGTGCCTATATATAAATATATATTCCGTGATTTCTGGTTTGCTTGGTTTTGTGTAGTTTCGCTACAGTTGCTCGCTGACAGCAAATCGAGTAAAGTTCATCTTTTTGTGTGTTATTTCGTGTTTTATGTCGTATACCAGATTGAATTGACTGAGTATCAGATTAAAAACAGCAAACATTTTATATTCGTTTCTTTGTTTACAAACGATGAAAGCCAAAGTAATATTAATAAAGTATAAACATTTTTCGAATTAAATCAGTTCCGTGATTTGTTCATTTCCGAAACCACAATTTTTAATTAATTTGTGTGAGTTAATAGTTTAAAGTAAAAATTTGTGTTCGAAAATAAGTGAAGGGCGTAGAATTGTCAACGGTATAGAGTATTTTGTTCGATTAAGAAAAAAAAGAGAAAATTACACATCATGAGTGTAATTAGATTGCAACTTTGTCATTGTGTATTAAATTTGTTAATGTTAAGTGTAATTGTAAGCGTTGTGGAACTAACACCACTTTGTGGTCAAATCGATGGATCATCGCAACCAGATAGTGATAAAATTTATTTTAAAGATAGAAGTCAGAGAATTCGAACGATTGCAATAAATGGCAAAGTATATGCATGTTACCCAGACGGTACTATGGTAGATACAACATCATCCGGTGAAAACAGCAATGAACGACTTAGTGAACATGAAATTCGTGAGAGAATACGTGAAGGTACATATACTCATTTTTATTTATTGTGAATGTCTTTTACTTTTAATCTGTCATTATTAATAATATTAAAGTTTAGTCTTTCAATCTTCAAATTTAATAGACGAAACCAATTCAACAATGAATCATCACGGAACATACATGGCGAACGTTAGCCGTTGCGCCGACAGTAACCTATCGTATTGTACAAACGACACCAGCTATCCAATGGACATCATTGAGAAATTATTGCGAAAACAATTGCATAAATATGCCGATGCATTTGGCAGCGATATGATATCGACGAATATATCCACCCGCTATGGTGGTGCTGATGAAATTACACTGTGCGATTATTATGAAGAAGTAATTTATCCGAAAAGTGGACGGAACCAAAAAGGCGTTGATATGTTCATCATCAATACCAACGACCATAAACAAGGTGTACGCGTTTCAAAGTGTGTAAATAATGGACAAACGTGTAGAATGAGCGAAAATTTCCCAAATGGTTACCGCACCGAATGCAAACAACATTTTGTTTATCGTGAATTACTCACGCTGGCGCCCGATCAAACAATCACAAGAGATAAATTCGAATTTCCGGCTTGTTGCTCATGTGCCGTGTACAGAGATGATAATTTCTGAATGATATCAAACTTAAACAATATTCAATTAGTGACAAACAAGTTAGTTTTTTGTTGTTGTCCTGAGTGATTCTTCATTCAGAATGAAGCCAAATTTATTCAATTACAATATAATGCAAAATTTAAAAAGAAACATGGTAAATGACAAAAGACTTTTTCCAGAATAGAATTTGTTTAGATTTTTTTTCCATTTTTAACTTATTTCGTCTCGATAGAGCCAAAATTTGGATTCAAAAGTATGTAGCATCGACGTGTTCCTGAAGTGAATTTTGCGTGTAAATAATCTCTATACGACTATTTAAATTATATTTAAATTGTAAACACGTTTTTTTTTTGGTCCCAGAAACGACGATAAATACTAGAATAATTCATTAGAATGTGTGTGCTATTTTCGTTTCAAATACGTATTAAGTCAATGTATAATGTATTCGATTTACTGAACGATTTTTCATTTGCTTGTGTTTCAGTATTGATTGACCAATTTTAATATTCAACATTGCCGTGCTAATGTGTTGGGACAAAAAAAACGTGCATATAGTTTATGAGATCATTTAGCTGTTACACTTATTTGCATACGTTGCATAGAAATAATCTAGACATATAGGTTACCTTAATTGATGTTATATCGTTATTTTAATGGAAATTTATGAATAAACATAAAATAAAAAGCGCAAAATATTGTCGTTGTAATGGTGTTTATGTCTGCAATCGGTGTGTGTTGTTTTAATTCTCTTCGTTCGTTATCGCGGCGAAAACTTTGATATTGTCCACAGTCAACGGGTCCAGCAGCAGAGTTGCAGCTATTGCATACCGATTTTCAAGTTCATCGAATGTCTCATTTAAATGAAACAGCATTTCGTTGTTATCATTCGTTAATGGATTTTAGCTCTGTAATACATAAAGAAGGAATCGCACTGATAGCAAACCTTAGAAAAACAAGTCTACAAACATGAATTTTAAAACGATGAAAAGTAAATAAAAACCAACTGATTATAAACCCAAACATACGCATATAGACTATTCGGTTGACAATCAGTTTTATAAAAGCAGCCAGCATCGCCAAATAAACGATCAGTGTGTTGCACCTACAGTTTGTGTGCGCTGCGCGTTTTAATCGCGCTTGTGTGACTTTGTGATCTTCCATATGCAAAGAAAATTGAATAGACTTTTCGATCGAAGATAATAAATGCAATTATTTATTCAGTGCAGCAAACTTAATGTGTCAATCAATTAAAAGTCAATCTATTCATATATTGTGAAAAATTATTTGGTGCAGTAGCTTCGACAGTAAACTTTGTTCTTCTTCGACTTCAAAGGCGATAAAAAGAAATCAATTGGCGAAAGTGTGTTGAATACGAGTTTCGAATAAAAGTGAAAATATGTCTATAGTTACAAATCACACGTTTGCATCCAGCATTTTAATTTTCATCACTATCTCGAATGTCATGATATTGTCGCATTTATGCGTCGGAACACCTTCAAATTATAGTGGTGCAATTGTCTTCCCTGATAGAATTGAATCAATGGTTTCGCAACGGTTTGGTGAAGATTTTAATTGTACCAAATCCACTTGAGGCTAATTTTTGTTAATTTTTTCTATTAAACAGGAAACACACCACGTAAATTCGTAGCCAATGTCAATTCTTGCGCTATTGATAATCAAACATTTTGTTTAGAAGACAAAAATTATCCGTTGGATATAATACAAGGAATATTGCAAAGACACGGGAATGAATTTAGCAATGTTTTTAGCAATGATATTATTCCAATAGATAACGTTATGAATCGAGATAATTTGGAGGAAATTGACCTTTGTGATTCCTATACTGATGTCTTGTTCCCGAAAACTGGAAAAACTAAAGAAGGAGAAGATTTATACATTTTTAATACGAATGAGCATAAACAAGGTGTTCGTGTTGGGATGTGCTTAGGCTCTGGTAAACAATGTAAGCCAATTGTCAGCGTGCCGAATGGCTATCGAACTGAATGCGTACAACATCATGTCTACCACGAACTTCTATCACTATCACCTAATGGACAAGGTGTCAAAGAGACATTCTCATTTCCAGCTTGTTGCAAATGTGCTGCATACCGAAATTAGAGAAAGATTTATATTTTATTTTTGTAATGAAATCAATTTGATCTTTGAACCAATCAAATTAAAAAGTATATTGTTTACATTGGTTTCAGTCAGCCTAAAGCAACATGAGATTGAATTTGCATTGACATCATTTTCAATATGAAATGTAATCAGTTCCGAAAATAGAATAATTCAGCCAATCAGCATAGCAGATATAAAATATTACACGAAATAAAACACAATATTCGAATTATTTTCAATTAAAAATCGATTTATCTCAAATTTGTTGCATTGAAATGAGTCAAATTTAAAAAATATATTTGAAAACTCAAAAATACTAAATTTATTAAGATATTATCCATTATCACAGAATTAAGTAATCGAAAGATATTCGGCGCTGAAGCAATTAAAAATGTCCATGTACTTATGTAATTCATAAGTGATAAACTCTAATCATTCATCTAAAAATAGATACGTTTAAATCATTTTTATTTGTTGTTCATACTTATTATAGCTGTGTTTTTCTTCAAAAGTCGGTGTAGTTGCGGTATTGATTATCTAATTAAAAACTATGCATTATCTATGCACGTGTCGGTCTACTGTTAGGTTAAGCTACAGTAAAAATGAATATTACAACTTTAATTTATGAATATGCATACGTATTTGCATATGAACGAATGAATATCTTTTAACGGAACGTTTATAAACAAATGGCAGTTTTGAATAATTTTATTGATAGTTTAATTTTGTTTTCACACTCAACGTCTCCACAAAGAATTTGTTTTGTTGGCTCATTTTGATTTCATCTAGAAGTCAAACAAAAGGTTATCCACTATCACATTGGACTTCATACAAAATATATGCAAATATATAATATAAACACTATGAAACATTTGACTTTTTTGCAGACCTGTTCTTTTGTGTTCGATTTCTTTCATAAATAACTTACGAGATTGTTTGTTCTCTTTCGAAATGCTATTCGCCCCTTCGACTGTGTAGTACGCAACGAAATAACACACTAATTGAATGATGATCGTATAAGTCGTGTGCTAGACACAAGTACTTTGTTAAACAATGCAAATCACTTTTTTAATGTGTTTGGTTCGTAAAGTGTTATTCATGTGAATGAAAAAAAAATTGAAAATGATTTGTCGGTGTAGTTTATAGCCAACAGATATATTTTCTAGTACGTATATATCAAGAATAGAACAACAGTTGATATTTAAAAAACAGGGCTATTCAAAAAATCTCGAAGAAAAAATATATTTCAACTACCTCATTTATTCGAACATTTATGGCTCAATATCTTACTGAATATTCATGGCCATTTCATTCACAGAAAAAAAAAATCTGAAATGGCGAGAAAAAACTCACAATCGACACCCTTGAAAAATATTCACTGCAAAAAAAAAAGATTACCTGGAACCATCATTTCGGTTGTATCATCAGTTTTGTGTTGGTGTTTGAGGCGTGAAAATGCGTTTGAAAATATTTACACCTCAATAAGTGAGCAATCGAAAAAAGGATTTCTTGAGCCAACAAAACCCCACGAAATTCCAAACAATTCATCAAAAAATGTATGTCGACAAAACAAGCAATACAATGCATCGAAACATTGAGATATGATTCATTTCTTTTACATTAAACATTCCAAAAGTTGGACAACACACATAAAAAAGTTAGAAACGATCCAAAATCAGATCATCACAATAGATTTACGATCAAATGATTTATCTGTTTTGATTATGTCGTTTTTCGGAGCATAGTTGAAAACGGTTGACTTTAACATTTGACTTGAAATGGAAGGAAAAACAACATCGGTTAGAATGGATTTATTGTGTCACAAAATCCTGCTTACATTTCTATTTTTTTCGAACAGTTTTTTTTTCATTCTTTCTGCATTGCTTGAACTATGAAATTAAGGGAAAAAGAACAAAACGGTGACAACACTTTTTCTCGTCGTCCTTTCAAGGAATGAAAATGTTTATTCAATAAATTGTTATTTATGACGTTGTTCGATCGGTGATCGACGACAATTATAGAATGGTTTGAATGCGACCAAGAAAACCAAAATCGTTTGGGCGGAGTCGTGCCGTTACCATTGTCTTCAGTCGGTCATTGTGTGTACCCAACAAACGATGGAAAAGGAGCGTAATGTCTTTATTCACGAATTGAATTGAGAAAGGTGTATGATGTATTGGACTGCAAGTTGTACGGAAATCAAAAATTTAAACAATGAATCAACAAACTTAATAAAAATGTTTGTTTATTTTACGCTGGGATTTTTTCCAGTGTCATTGTTGAGCAAACATCACTTTTTTCCTTTGCAATAGTTCAAAGATTTCTTTTTTCATTGTCACTTCTTCCCTCAAAAGTTACCATTTTTTATTGAAGAATTATTATTGTTTGCAATTCGCTTTAATAAAAAAACCAGAAACCGTCATTTTTTTGATAAACGACTCGATGATTCTCTGTGCGTTCATGAATGAAAATACCCGGCTGAATAAAACCGAACCTGACACTATTTGAACTATAAATAGCTTGTTTACAGATATGAATGTCGTGTAATTTCACGGTGCGCACATTTTTTCTTCTTCATCTTTTTCAACGAAAGTATAGCGTGTAAAAAACTGACCAGACCCAACAGTCTAATCAATAGAATTCGAATCGATTCGCTTATTTTGTCGTTTGTATTCTTTTTTAATTGTTTCATTTGATTCATGGCCCGCATTTCATTCAACAAATTCGCTGGGGTTTTTCCCGTTTCTTAAGATGTTTGGTTTGCAGCGAAGTTTGTTGAGAACTGGCGCATTTAGAAAAAAAAAACTTTCTTTTGGGTTTTTTTTTCTTTTCTTTATAAAAATAAATCCATTCATAATTCAAAATTTTGGCTCATTCTTCAACAAAAAAAAAAAAAAACAATTTCACGGCGATCATTCAGAAAAAAATCGATTTAAGCGCAGCGGTCGTAGTTCGGTTAGCCAGAATCGACCAAATGGCAAAAAGTGTGAATTGGTTTGTGAATTATGAATGAAATTGTCGCTTGCCGATGTTCCCTTTTGCAATACTCTCAATTGTCATCCGTTGCAAAACTTTTAATTAAATCTAACAAAGAGCATTTCAATTCGTACAATTACGTTCCGAACAAATGCAATGATCATGCGACAGGACAACATCAAATTAATATAAATGTCATATTTACCGTAAATCCGATTACGTATTACAATCATTGACATTTCTATCTAGCCAAACATATATTACAAAAGTCAAATGTTTCGCCTGCGAATTGGCCCATTTGCCGAATAATCAGTCTTGCAAATATCAAAGCGCATTTTCATTCAATTGATTGGAAAATACTATTGCCCTAATCTCCGACAAGAGAGAGAGAGAGAAAGATTATTGTATTTAGTTGTCAACAAAACCGATTTTCTGATTGTTATTGTGAGCAAAAGATGAAATTGACTTTCGTTAGTTTTGATCATTCAATTATGCGTAAAATATTAAGACACTAGCAATTTTCTTGTTCTTTTCTTTGCCAAAATGTACTTTCGCCATTCATTCACATACATGTCCACAATTTGTACGTGTGACATCTACTATGCATAGCATCGAAAGTCAAGCACAAAAAAACCAAAGAAAAAATTGAAAGAATGAACAAGACAAAACGAAGAATAATACATTTGGTTTGTTGTTATGTTTGAATGACCATTGTCATTTGTGTACTTGGCAGAAAGAAAATCTGTCATTCTTCACTTTCTTCGTTTCGCCGTCGTCAAAATGAGCTCTATTAAACTCGGTCTTTCCCAACTTAATCTGTGATGCTAAATAAATGCAGACACATTTCTATTGTCCAATTTCTAAATTAAAGTCTCCGATGCTCATGTTTGTAATTGGCACATGGACATTTGGATTAGCTATGATAATTGAATTTCTTTTTCATTTTTGAATGAAAGCATTGTGTTTTTTATTTGAAGTTGACCGGTAAACACGGAAAGAACGTAGACATAAAAATGCCATACTTAAAATATTGGGAATTTTAGAATTATTTAAATTAATCATTTAAATAGTTTGTATTAATTTATGCTTCAATGAGACATTTTATAAATGATAGTCTTTCCCAAAAATATGGGATCTCATCAACAGTCAGGGCATCACGTTGATATTTCAAAGGTAGATTAGTAGATTGGGTTCTTTTCAGCCATTTTAAATTTTATTGACAACATTTAAAATCCCCATCATCTAGTACCAATATTGCTTGGATTACTCATCAAAAGTGTCACGTACGCAAAATATGAAGTGTGAATACAAGAAATCTGGCAGCATGTGCACAAATAAATATAGTCAATGTTTGTGTTGTCCTCAAGAAAGGTGTTGAAATGACAGCGACAAAAAAATGAATAATGAATAACCGGTAACTTGATTATTCCGCAAATAAAATGCGTTGTTAACTAGAAGAAAGACCATTTTATCAGTGCAATTAATGTGTATAAAATATGAATTTCGTAGCCAATGTCGTTTTCCGGATTGGCAGACTGCACTTGGCAACGGCCAGCATATTGAATGGTTTGGTTTTGGACAAAGAGAGCACAAAATCTAATGACGTCAATGCCTTAAAATTCATAAATATTTATATATGCGCATATGTTCCTATTCGTCGATTATGGAACGTGCTTCAGCCGCTTCGAATGAAACTTGTTTAAAATATTAAATTAAATATCACAAAATTGAATTAAATATAATTTATCAACAAGAGCAACAACAGCAATAACAACAACAACAACGGTGACAACATCACCAATTGCAAACGGATGCAATGTGAATATACAGGAGGGAAATTTATTAGCATCATTTTGTTTGAATGAAATGCGACGGTTTCAATGGATTTGATTTTAATATGAATTTCTTTATTACACACAACAATCGGGTACACTGGGAAGAACTGCACACAAAAACATAACACAGAAAAGAAGAATCAAAAAATTTGCCGATGAAATAATATACACCGAGAAAAAGGGTAGAAATGATGATTTGAGCCTGTTCACATATATACATATACATATAACCATGTGGTGTCAACTACTTGCCTATTGTGCTTGGTTGCTTTCAGTTATATCAATTTGGTGTGTCGCTGTCATTCGTTATGCACATTTTAATATAGAAATAAAAAGAGACTTATGCCGAAAAATATTGCTGTTCGTTCTTTTATTTACGGTTTTATGATGGGTTTTTTATGCGAACAATGAGCCTCGCGGCTCAATTCAAAAATCCCACTCTATGCTGTTCTTTCTTTCTCTCAAACCCATTCGTCACTTGATTTCGTTTCGTCACACATTGATTTGGCCAGAAAATTGGTAGCACAAAACATAAAGAGGCGAACTGTCGCCCGGTATTTTTTTCTGTCCCCTTTGTAGTTCCATTTACGAAGTATGAACGGCACAAGAAAGGGATGTGTGGCCAAAATGGAAAGCCACGTTATCCACACACGCATATCGAAAGACATACAAATACATACCATTCATAAATGTATAATTTATACGGAATGTCCGAAACGAACTCACTGTCGCTCTTTTGCACTGCATAAAACAGTAAGATGAATCTGATTTTATTTGGCCATAATAAATGTGTTGTGAATGTGGGATATATGAAGATTTTGCATTTGAGACCATTTGAATTTCCAGTTCCATTTTAATTTAATACATTTGCACATGCTGTATGATCAGAATGGAGATTAGATAAAGTATAAGCTATGCGCGTCAAAGCGAATGAAGAAAAACCAAATCAGTTTTCATCGTTTGGATATGGTGTCATTCTGGCAGACAAACACACACACAAAGATAGAGAAAACAACAAGAGTACCAACCTTATTAGCTACTTGTCGCTGCCGCATTCATCTGCCATGTATATTTTGAGTCAGTGTGTTGACGATACATTTTGGGGTGAAATATCTGTAATAAATAATGCATTGAAGAGACATACTACAAAAATGTAATATGAAAAGAGTTTTTTTTTCATATTATATTATGTGGAAATGTTGTGAAATGACATTTTCTGTTCATAAATTATTTTTTATGGACGACACTGGTCGCCTATGTTTCGACCCAAAGAAATGAACATAATATTGGCAAGCAGAATCAATTGAGCGAGACGGGAGTTTTTTTTAAGGCGTAACAGCATTTTAATTGAATGTCTGAATGGTATGTGATTGCATTTAAAAGGGCGAATCAATTGTACTATGATCGAAATTCATAATGAATCCATGCAATTTATGTTATCATACAAATATTTAACACGTTCATACTCGCAGGTGGACCGACAAATCGTACATTATTCTTTGCAAATGAAACATAAAACGAATGATTTCAAATCATATATTCAAATTTATTCCAAGAAATTTCACAATTCATCATCATTTAACCTTAAATTAACTACAATGTTGATACTACGTATTGTATCTTAAACTACCTTTAGATATTGATTTAGTGAAGTGTCTGCATCATCCGAAAATATGTTATTTGTGGCAATTGCACGAATTCTATTAAGCATTGCTACTATGGTTCCACCGTCCGAAGAAGAGTTAACAGCTCGTTGAACAAAAGCGTCCTTTGGCAATTTGTCGAGTGTTAATTGCTCAACTTGTTTGTCCATGTCGTCCACCAATGTAATCAGTTCGTTCAATTTAAGGTTCTTGTGTAATCTGAATGTCATTTCATTAATCATTTCTTCGAATGTTTCACGTAATTCTATCTGGTATGATTGGAAGGAATTATTTTATAAAGTAGTGATTTCACTAGTCAATTTCATTTCTTACCGAAGTATTGAGCTCAAGTAGAGCTTCATGAAAACGATTTGACATAAGACTTTGTATATTTTCTTCCCCCTTAAGAAGATCACTCAATTGATAAGTTATGTTTGTTCCCAAACTGTTGACACCATTGAATACATTTGAAAGTTTTGATTTTATGGAATCAATCGATATATGCATCGATGATGCATTCATTTATTCGAAAATCTTTGCTTCCATTTGATGATAATTTTGTAAAAATTTATTGATTTCTTCCACAATTTGATCTTCAATATTCTTTTTCGGATTTACAATTTTCCATAGATCTCCGGTTAATTTTAAAATCATTGGTATGCCGCTGTAAGATTGAAGCTCTTCGCCACCCACATTTTCAAGGATATTGGTTAAGTTTTCAAAATTTCTGGAAATGTTTTAAAAATAATTCATATAAGTAGATTTTGCCACAATATTGTGAAATGAAATAAGTAAGATTGAGTTTGTCGCGGTTTATATAATACACCGCCAAAAACTGGCTGTCTTTATTTAAGTCAAGGATCATTGATCGAAAACAGTTCCGGAAACCTGCATCTTTTTTACAAATCTGAACAAATTCTTTGGCTAATTCATGCTATGGCGCATAACTTGTCGATAATGTTTAACAATAAATATAAATTGTACACTGTACACACAGATTATAAGGCACCATAATTCGTTTTTATGATAAGATTGAACTAAATATACGATGGTAAAGCTAACATTGCCCGACATTGCCGTTTAAAAAACAACGTCCAATTGACCTTCAGAGATTGTGAGACTGTGTTTTGCATTTTTTCGTTTGAAAATAATTCAATCTTTAAATACAATAATTCATTAAAATTATTACTTACTAAATGCCATTTTATATATTACATATAAATTGGTTCTTTGCATACATAAAATGTCCATTGTTAAAATGATTCACTGAAACGGAAGCTAAGCAGAATTTTCAACCCTTTAAATTGTATAATTTCTATTTGTGTTAATTCCATCGAATGATTGATTGCCGAGTTTAAGCTAGAGATTACACCAATGTTATACATTTTCAAACCGGAACATACAACACAACAAATTGTTCTTTTTTACGATCTGAAATAAAATTAGATTGGATTATAAAACTGATGCGGCGGCGGCCCGATACAAAACAGGTTTCAGTAGTAACGGTTAACGTAAAGAATATAAATCACAAAACGCACACGAATCTCAAACAGAAATTCCATGCAAAACTAGTTTCAAATTAATCATCGGATTCATCAAAGTACTGTGTACAATCAGAAATGCCAATAAAGCGTTACAAATAGGATTTCCCTTTGTTCTATTTGCATTTTGTACAAATAAAAATGCATCCGTGGTACGCATATGCATTTTTTAAGATCAAATTAATCAATTTAGATCAATAATAACAACAAGAAAACATCGCGGTAAAACCAATGCTCTATTGACCGATCCCTTGTTTGCCGGAAATACGAAAAAAGTGCATCAAACAATGCTCAAAAATATTCTAATAGTAAGCGTGTGCGAATCACACAAAGATGTGCACATTCTTTTTTCGCGAACGTGAATTTGAATTTTTTGATAAATCCATTCGAACAACCGATTTTCATCCGGTTTTTGCAAAAACAAATCTCCCCGAAATTCAGCATCAATCGATAATTAAAGCAGCAGTTTTCCTGCCGAGAAAAAAGTGAGCATCGGCTGAATAAAATGCAAATCGCGTTGTTGCATGTGTGCATGGCATTTTTATCGATATGAAAGCCGATAGAGTGAAAAAATTTTTTTTTTCGAGCGAAACAACATATTAGCGGCGGTTGGCGAATAAACGAAAACAAATGGTATAAAAATTGTGTGTGAGAATGCAATACATAAAACCAAAATCGAAATGACATTCAAGTGAACAAAAATGTCCACAACATTGTGCGTATGCATAAGTCTCAACCACGTATCACGTGCAACACATTTTACAATTGCAAATTTTTGTTTTCCACTTCTCGTTCATAATATTTTTTTTCGTTCGAGCTGATTGTTCTTTTTTTTCACTTTGCAGGTCTCGATTTTTTGGGTCCAAACATTTTTATGGCCGGTTGTTCGTTTTGGTTGTCGCATTCGCAAATCTTTTTGTGTCTTCAAACACACACAATAAACACTCATACACACATTGTGAGGACACATACAAACACATATTGTTGTAGGCCATCATTCATACGAATGAAAGAATGAAAATTGCAACTCAAAGTGCACATGAACGAACAACAAAATAAGCATACAAAAAATCAGCAACAATGAAATTTACAGGACGAAACAGAAAAAAATATACACAGATACACGACAAAAAAATAACTAACAAATTACCATACGCTGTGGCTGTGGTTTTCAGAATCGCGCCATGAACACACGATACACGACGACACTTGGCTGGTTATGTTCTCTCTTTCTCTCTCATTCCTCATCTCTTTATTTCTCTTGGTATACACATTGCGAAAAACCAGTGCAAAATCCAGGAATGAGAGAGAGAGAGAAAGAGGAAAAAAATGCCGATTCTGATTTTTGGCGCAATTTTATTTCAAGCAATTATTTATTCTTTTGACACTGACTTTTTGCGAGACAATCCGTGGACATTGCCGATTTTTTGGTGAGAAAATCGAATATTTATTAAACAACATTCGAAGAGTATACAACAATTGCCAAAAACATAGACATATTGTGTATTGTGGTTGGTTTACATACAAAACTGACAAAGCCATGCTTTTAATGCTTTGAATGGACTTTCATTCAATTGATGACTTTTTCAGTTCTGGAAATAGAAAGGCTTTTTTGATTGATCGCATGAAATTTTCTCACGACAATTTTTTTGCAATTTCACTTATTCAGGTGCAATTTTACGGTAATGAAAGTAGAAAATTATTTCAATACCACAAACATGTCATTTAAGTTCACAGTAGGCATCAAAAATCTGTTGAAAATGATTAAATTTTACATGAAACAAAGTATATACTTATTTTGATAATACTATCGGAGACACTTTGCAAAATTATCTATTTTAATTTATTAATTCGATTTGATAAATCATAGCAGCCATTGAGTCATTGGAGATGCGTCTGACTTTTATTTATTTTACAAATAAGTGGTGTTATTCGACCAACCACACTCATATTAATTCTGGGACATCTCGGGGATGTCAACATTATGCTTTCGAATATCAATTGCAAAAATTTCATACAATTTATCAGTTTGAATTCTTTGTATCGAATGTTGAAAACTCTAAATGTTTATGTGCAAAGTCCTTTTTTCACATGAAATGCGAGTAACTTAATTTTAACAGTAATAAATTGTGTTTTTTACGGTTTTATATCGATGCCTCTGCTTTTCTCGAATTTTTCTCGCTTTCTCCTTCTCTCATCTCACGCCCAAAGCCAAACGCCAAATGTTGAAGAATGGCAATAAAAGTGAAAATATGTAAAGATTTATGCTTTCGCATGAAACTATTGAACAACAACAAAACTGTTGTTTGGTGTTTTGGCAAACAATGTTGTATTTTTGTTGTATTGTAAAAAAATCGATTGGTTTTTTTGCATTGCATGTTTTTTTTTCTTCTAAAACTGTTAATTTTATCGGTGAAGTTGTAAAAATTTTGCGCACCCAACCTTTTCTAGCGGTTGACGCAAAACTAACAATTCATTGTGCAATGCATTTATGCAATGCTGTTATCAGAGAGTTTTTAGTTTTTTGCAAATTCTCCGTTTGCTTATTGTTGATTTTTTATGACTCTGTGCATTTTCTTTAGTGCAAAAAACATTCTTATCTCTTAGGGTTTTTGGTGAAAAGGTAAATAGTACTCAGTTCTTTTACGGTTGTTGTGCAAAAAAAACTTCACCTTCTTCATTCTCGTTCCTAACAACAACGAAGATAAAAGAGTGCAAAACTTACACATATATCTGTTCAACCCATAAAATACTTTGGCGATAAAAAAACGGAGAAAGAGAAAAAGGAAAAAAAAACAGATAGAAACAAAGAAGTCAGGCATGTTTGCATTTGCAGTTTTTTTTCGCAATACATCCGTTAAACGCAAAAACCAGAGAATGTGCATAAATTCATAAAACCCGATTGCTATAGCCTTCGAAGGGTGGTAAAAAGAGATAAAAAGGATGGAAAGCAGTTTGTTGCGTTATTTTTCTTTCATTATGACCTAAGCATGATTCAACTGTGCGTTGAAGTCAATGAGTTCACTTGGTTGTTTGTTATCAGTTTGCAAAAAACGTGTGTTTTTATTTACGGTTTCTGAGGCTTCGCCCAGCTCGGGATAAAGAAAAAGGTAGATTTATTTACCGCTATTGTTCATGCATATGGGATTGCACATACACAACATTTTCGCACTAAATTATACCAACATTTATACGGTTGTGGTGTTTTTGCCAATAGAATATATACCATCAATGCCGATAATTTTGAACTGATAGTTAAATCTAAAGGTCAAACTGAGATTATATGTTTAAACGCTCCATAAAAAACCGCATCGCAAATATTGTTAGAATTGAATTCACCACAAAAGAAGACAACGAAGGGAAAATGACAACGACTTCTGGCATGTGAGTTAATTTCGTGCTTTCACTTCTTTTTTAATTGAATTCATTTCATATAGAGAAATATGTATGTGTGTAAGCTACTTGATGGTTTAAAAAAAAATATCAATTTGTTTTCTCTGTTGGCGTTCAAACCTTTAGGAACTAATAAATTGACATTATTCGTTACACCTTCATGTTATCCATTTTAAAATTGAACATTTACTGGTTTAATTGTCAATATTTTTTGCACATTCGTTCTCCACATAGTATTGAATTATTGTTGGTTGCCATGTAAACGTTTTCAGAAATTAGCATTTTTACGCTCTTGGTGCAAATCGAAAATAATAACAACTTTGGACATTTCGTCTTGCTGCAATGAGGGGAATTTTGATTTGTTTCATAATTCGGAATTACTCCATATTACTTCGAAGGTCACATCAATTACTGCGGATGATCTAAAAACAGCATTGTCAAGAAATTTAAAGCAGCTTTCAGTATTAAGTGAACTTCAATTCATTGCGCGTGGCCTTTTTTCAGATCTTACATACTTATATCATTCAAATTCAAATCATCGAAGACAACGCATTTCATCGACTTAATAATCTTACAATTTTGGAAAAAAAAAAACAATTGGAGATAATAAAGAGACACACATTCACGGGTTTGAATGCCTTGCGTTCTTTGTATCTCCAAAAAAAATAAAATTCGATCAAGTCTCTCATTAGTGCATTTGAACATCTAACCAATTTAAACTATATAGAGAGTGTATATAGTCATTTTTTCTCTTCTGGCTCTCTTTTTCTTTATCATAAAATTGCTGAAAATG